CGTCTAGAGTAGTGTTCATTGTTGATGCATATGAAAATATATGTAAAAACTATTATCATCTCTTTTCGCCGACTACACAACAAGAGAATTGGAATGTGTGATGCACATGTCAAAGGACATCTACCCTGGCTTAGCTCGCCTGATCTGTTCCAGACAATATCGATCATATAAATGCTTGCAGAAAAAAGGAAATTAAAGAAAACAATTAGATTCTTCTCCTGTTTTTTTCTTTCTAATCTTTCGTTCTTTTTTTTTTCATGAGTTATGTTAGTCTTGTCATTATAGATATTATATTATATTTTCATTAGATGTCAAACTCAATTAACTTAATAATACAAATACTTGTTGAATTGAATTTTGTTTAATAGAATATGTTTATTGGATTTTACAATTAACAATAGAAATAATTGGTAAACTCCTATGTAATCTAGTATAACTATTGTCAATTGAAGAGGAAAGTTAATCCTTGCATGTTTCCTTGTTTCTTCTTGTTTGCTACCATTGTCGCGTTTTTTTTCTCTTATGTTTTGCTTTTCATGATATAATAACAGCTGACAGACTGACTGTAATGTTATGTTCCATTTTATAGGATGGATTTAATTTTTAGTCAAGACCTTTGACTTACTTATGTTATATAAGTGAACTTCTGTTAGAATAATCTCATATACAATTAGACAAACATGTTTTCAACTTCAAAAACTAAACAAAATTTAATTATTTTGAACATAGATATCAATAACATGATACATCTGTTCTCTTCTTATCTTACTATTCATTATATTTTTAATTCTAAACTTTCACTAGCATCATTGGATTTTAAAAAAAATAAATTAATAATTATTGATTTTCATATAAATTGATTTATGAAATGTTAGCAAAAGAAATTCTCATTATGTTGTTAGTACATATTAGAGATCATACAAATCTATTGTTTCTCATTTAATCTTTGGATGAAATTCATTTTTTAAGTTATGATCAATGTTATCTAGACAAAATATTATAAGCGCTACTTTAGACATTTGTTCATGATCTTATTTCTAATGCTATTTAAAAAAGAAAAGTCTTTCTCTTTTGCTCTTAAAGATGTCAGTCTAACCATGGAAAGAAAGCGACTCTCTCTGCAACTTTAATGATATTTTTTTATCGTTTCACATAACTTTTAAAGTTATTAAAGTTAGCTGTAGTATATATATAATGAGTTCTTATAATGGTTAAACTATTCAAAATATATGGTGAGAGAGAAAGAGATTTTAATCTCATGAAAATGTTCTAATAAAAGTATTGTCTTTGTCACAATGAATTAATTGACTGTCGATCTATACATGAATTTCTTTTTTCTATAAGTCTGCACTCTGAAATGAAATAAAGTTATTAGAGGTATTTCAAAATTATTTCAATAATTCTATTGTTCAACTTGCAAAAAATTAAATTAATATTACTATTTTTAAGTTGACTTTTTTTAAGCGTATGATTAATGATGGATTTAGATTTTTTTTATAGGGGCTTCGATGGAGAAGGAAAGTGATCATAACCATAAAATGTATTTCGAAGCTTATTTTCAAGCCTTTGTCGCTAGGAAAAGTCGACACAAATCTTTTGGAAGAGAGGATGATCACCTCAAGCACCCTCTCTGAATCCGGTGCTGAGTATGATATATTTTAGGAGCTTAATCTCGTCAATTGTTTTTAATATCAAATTCAATGCTTATAAAACAAAACTAGATCAAATATAAACGTTAATTAAAAGGCATTATGAAAAACACGAGATTAGTCGTTCAAGATTTGTGATTGTCTATGATCATATCATTAAAATTATTATCGATTTATTATGTTGCATAAGAAATCTAAAAAGAAATATTTAAGAACTTCTATGAATAATTTTCTAATATAAAAAAGTATATGAAAATAGATAAACTATGATTTCAATTAATTTAACCTTTTTCAGAATGAGATTCTGTTGTTATGAAGCAAAATAATGAAAAATAGAATTTATTAAAATGAATAGATTTTCATTTTTAATCAGTGCTGTTGATCTTGCAAAGGCTAATATGGCACAAATGTATTTAGCTCGTTCCAAATCATAGATCAATGATAAATACTATGCATCAACAGATCTGAACTGTTCCGGAGTGGAAAAACGCCTATGTGCATCTTTCTCTCATCCCAAAAAGGATTAAATGAACCGTTTCTAATAAAAAAATTTTAGTTCGATTTTCTCTAATGTCAAAAATTGGTATCATCATATTACTATCAAGCAATAATTCTACCATGTAACAATCGTTCAACAAGCATACCATATGTCACAGATACAAAAAAAACAAAGACTAATGCATAATAGAAATGATAATGCATGTTGTCAGCTTTATTAATATATGCAAAATAAATAACAGAACTAATAAATTTTTGATAAATGTAAAAAATTTGCAATCAAAATATTACTCTAGTATCCATTGAATATTTCAACAAGAATTTGTTTTTTTTACATATAATACGAAGTTTTATCTGTATTCTATTCAATATGTGATTATTGATTGTATATGTTCATTGAAATATCAGCAGTAAATATTTAAAGTCGCTTTATTATTTAGCAAATTTTTGAAATTGGTTTTCTCACATATAAAATTTCATATTATTCAATATTTATTTCTTTTTATAAATTTGAAAATGTATGTATTTGGACAATATTCTAATTTGAATAGTTTTAAAATTCATTAAATCTAAACATGATCTTGTTAGTATAAATAAATGTGGGAAAAATCAATGAAAATTATTTTCTTTCATATAAAAATATTCATTTTTGATTTTTAAAATGTTTTTTTGTTTTTGTTAACAATAATAAAATCTTTTAGAAATGAAAAAAGAAAATGTACATTCGGATAATTTCAACTATTTTGATTTTTCGCAATCTATTATCATTTTAATTTTATAATATCTAGCATTGATCTTTGTATGACTCTAACGAAATTTGCCACGTGTAAACTAAAGAAAGAAAAATGAATTTTGTGTTATTTGCATTTGATTAAATTTTTTTTCAAAATCAACATATCGATCATTAAAAATAACAAAGTCAATAGGATTAATCACTTGATTAAGTATTCGCTTTTTTTTTTCTTTCGATCAAGGTTATTTCCAAAAGCAAAAAAATCACTTTCATACACGTCATGTTAAGATTGTTTGTTATAACGAAATATTCTCATATACTATACACATATACAACAACAATCTCATACCAAGAGACATATATTTAGATTCTAAACGTCGTAAAATAATACTCTCTTAATTATATAATTCATTCTCAAGACTTTATCTTAAATTTTTATTATTTTTCAACGAAATAAATACTCTATACAAAATAGAAGTCATTAGATTATGTCATTTATATACTCATCATATAAAAAATCCATAAAAATACAAATATTGCACCAACTAGCAATAACAATCATATCAAATAATGATATTTGACTTTACCTATGTATGTTTTTCTACCTATACAATTATCAGCATTTATATATAATCAATAAATATATTTACGAACGATTATTAAGTTGCCGATCATATTATATAAAGAGAAATAATCTTTCAGACATATGTCTATAACAGAACCGATTGAAAAGAAAAAATTCGAACAAATTTCATCACTTATTTTTCTTTTCGTATGCAAAATAAGATACGTAGGAGGATTGGCTTTTTTTTCAATGAAATAAAAACAAAAAATTGAAATAGACCTCATTTGACAAGTGCATGCAAAAATGAATTAATATTCTTTTCTTCTCTTTTTTTTTGTTCACATTATAGAAAATGAATTCGACACTGTCTGATTGGAATATAAAATCCCAAGAATCTTTTGATCGTTTATATCCGTCTTTTGTATCATCATTTTCTAATATTTATACACGTGATATACTTTTTGTTATTGGTTTAATTACAATATGTTTACTTTTATTTATATTATTAATACAATTTTTTGTCAAAGTACGTGAAACATATCAAACTAGCAAACCAAAAGAACAAAATAACAAATCTTATAAGTATCAAATAAGATATCCATCTTATCAAGAATTGTTAAATACAGAAAATAATCGCTGTGAATGTCTTCGATATTCATGTTTACCAAAATTTCAATGTGTTAAACCAAATTGTCAAGTTTTAAACAAAACAACATATTATGAACAAATAGATGAAAGACAAATCAATAACTCTATATGTAGAGTATATACTCCTAGCAATATATCATGTAATAACGTTTAGTTAGAAAACAACTTATCTATAGTATATGTTTTTTTTATTTATATTTAATTGAGCAATAAAATAATTTAAATGAGTAATAATGAAATTTAGCAATAATTATATGAAATGAGCAATAATTATACGGAGTGAGCAATAATTTATTTAAATTAAAGGTAAATTTTATATAAAAAGGATGTTATAGTGTGACTCGCTGATATATCTTTTTTTCCTTTCTTCTCTTCTACGATGTCGTACAGATGACCAGTACGACACATATATATCGGAGTTGACTTTAAAATATTTCAAAATCAACTAATTGTCTTTTAAATTCAACTCTAGTCGCCTTTAAAAGAAGACCGAATTTTAAAATCAA